CCTGCAAAAGCAATAAATATATAAGATTTCCTGTAGTAAACTGTCCAAAAAATAAGTTTATTTCTTTTACCATCATAATTTTTTGGATTTCTGAAGGATCAGAACACGTCAGAAAGGACGATTTTTTGGCCGATTAGCTAATTTAACGGTACTAGTGGCTCTGGTCTTATAAGATATTCCTTATACTTTTTACCGAATATACTAAACAAATGAATTTTTCGGCTTTTGCGTCAGTACAGTGGAAAACTTTTTTCTTGATTTCAGATGCTCATCTGTCCCGCTCAACTAGCAAAACGTTATGTTACCAAAGAAGAAGAACGACGAATTTTAGCGAAGATCAATAACCTAATACAAAGCAATCAATGGTTTGATGCCTTACTTAGGATTATCGGTAACGTTTCTAGTCTGTTAAAACATATCTGGTTGTTTAGGGTAGAGAGAAGGCGATAGGCTGGAAAAACTTTAAATTACTTGTTACTGCAAACGAATACTTACAAAGCCCTTTTTGCTTATTTTTTTAAGCTGAGGCTGTTCAATTATTCTGATTCTTGGATAATAGCTTTTAGATTCAATCAAGTCTCTAGTTTAACTTTATGTGCAGTCTTATTCTGCTTTTAGATGATGTTCAACATGAACTTGAAGGCGAGCCGAAAGGTCGCACGGACATTGGAACTATTTCTTTACTAGTTTCAGTGATTGTCGCCTTTGTCTTGTGTCTCGTTATTGCCTGTAAGTTATTTCAGAGCATTCCTTCTTGTCCGTTTCTTCATTTTTTCTTTAAACTTATACTGAGAAAAAGGCTTCCCTGCACCACCAATGATATCAGCCACTTATCTGCATTATAAATCTTTGGGCAGAGTCTTAACGCAACATGTTTGTGTTATCTCACTGTAAATTTACCCCATATTTTTAGCAACCGCTCCCTTTTCTCCCCCCTTCTACAAGTTTCCCTTCCATTGTGTACCACTTTGAGAAGCGGTTTTTCATTTACAATTTTTATGAACAGATTCAGGAACTGTTTCAGATTTCTTCTTGTTATTTCGGCAACGAATTTACAAAAAGGAAAAGGAAGCAAAAAAAATAGCAAAACAGAATTCGAAAATAAGAAAAATGTTTTACTATTTTAGACCAAATCACACTTAATCTTCCTTTCTTTCCCATTATTAAATTCTAATGTTTCCTTCAACTTTACTGTTACCCTCCTAGCCTCATTTGTTAGCCTTGTAATCTGCTTCATACTTATAACTTCCCGACCCTTTCTCTTAAACTACCGGGATCCCACTGTCTTGTGCAGCTAAGAAAGTAAAACCTAGGTGATCTTTTAGCTGTTCCTTCTCTGCCTAAAAATAAGACCTTAGATTTAGCTTTAGAGCTTCAAATTTAATGGTCTCACAGTTAGCCTTTCTGAAGTAAGATGTTAAGTAGCAAAGTAATTACAGAGACGCAAATGTAGTGTGTTGATGTGCAGTAGCCCCTGCACTGACAGCTTAATAAGTGTGCATTAATACCTACACTAAATCGTTTTAGGTTGTGTGTGCGCATTCAGATGTTTCGGTAATTTGAAGTCAGACGAAAACGATAAGGTGAGAAAAGCTGTGAAACGCGTCGACAGTCTTAGAGCAGAAGTAATGAGACGCGGAAGTCAACTTCGACGATCATTTTCAAGATCGCCGAAATTTCCTCTCGTTAAAGAGGGAGAAGAAATGCGAAACCAGTTTTTTTCCGATGCTGATACAACAGTAGTCTGAGCGCTCAGTGAACGGCTTCTAAAGAAGACAGGTGCAGAGCTATGACCAGTTGTCAGAAATGAGGTTTCGAAGAAGCCCGTTCAACATTTGGACCATGGTGCCTTCTTTCTGAATCGAACGGGTTTTATTGGTGGTGCTTTTTTATTCAAAATACACTGCTCCGAAAGAGTCTGTGTTAATATCTTATCGAAATTGTCAAAGTGCATA